GCATTTTAGTTGCCTCTTACAACACGCATGGCTTACGGAGGAAGAATTCTGTTCCACTTCCCCATGGAGATAAAAGAAAATAAACAAGAACAAGAAAGAAAATAGCAGAAAACCCAGAGGGGTGTGTATATATATGTTTGTGCATGTATGTGTAGTGTGACCTAAGTGTAGGTAGAAGTAGCAAGACATACCTGAAATCTTGCATGTTTATGAGACAGAAAAAAGGACATCAGCAATCCTACCATCATGTAAAACAATTACAGGCTTTCATTTTACATTCATTTGGCAAGACGGTAGTACCTCCCTGGGCGGTTGCTGTTTACCAACCTACTACCTACAACAAGCGCACACCACACACACACACACATTTATATATATATATTATGGTAGTAGGTTGATAGACAGCAACCACCCAGGGAGGTACTACCGTCCTGCCAAGTGAGTGTAAAACGAAAGCCTGTAATTGTTTTACATGATGGTAGGATTGCTGATGTCTTTTGTCTGTCTCATAAATATGCAAGATTACAGGTATGTCTTGCTACTTTTACTTACACTTAAGTCACACTACACATACATGTACACATTTATTTATACACACTCATCTGAGTTTTCTTTGATTTTATCTTAATAGTTCTTGGTCTTATTACTTTTCCTTTTATATCCATGGGGAAGTGGAATAAGAATCTTTCCTCCGTAAGCCATGTGTGTTGTAAAAGTCAACTAAAATGCCGGGAACAATGGGCTAGTAACCCCTTTTCCTGTAAAGATTACTAAAAAGAATAAGAAGAAAATTGTGAAAGTGGGAAGTCTGAATGTGCGTGGATGTTGTGCAAATGATAAGAAAGAGATGATTGTGGATGTTATGAATGAGAAGAAGCTGGATGTCCTGGCTATAAGTGAAACAAAGCTGAAGGGGGTGGGAGAGTTTCAATGAAGAGGAATAAATGTGATTAGGTCAGGGGTTTCAAATAGAGTTAAAGCTAAAGAAGGAGTAGCAATAATGTTGAAGGATAAGCTATGGCAGGAAAAGAGTGACTAAAAATGTATTAATTCAAGGAGTATGTGGAGTAAAATAAAGATTGTATGTGAAAAGTGGGCTATAATAAGCGTGTATGCACCTGGAGAAGAGAGAAGTGTAGAGGAGAGAGAGAGATTTTGGGAAATGTTGAGTGAATGCATGGGGAGTTTTGAATCAAGTGTGAGAGTAATGGTGGTTGGGGATTTCAAAGCTAAAGTGGGTAAAAATGTTATAGAGGGAGTAGTAGGTAAATTTGGGGTGCCAGGGGTAAATGTAAATGGGGAGCCTTTAATTGAGCTATGTGTAGAAAGAGATTTGGTAATAAGTAATACATATTTTATGAAAAAGAGGATAAATAAATATATACAAGGTATGATGTCGCACGTAATGAAAGAAGTTTATTAGATTATGTATTGGTGGATAAAAGGTTGATGGGTAGGCTCCAGGATGTATATGTTTATAGAGGGGCAACTGATTTATCGGATCATTATTTAGTTGTAGCTACAATTAGAGTAAGAGGTAGATGGGAAAAGAGGAAGGTGGCAACAAGAAGTAAGAGGGAGGTGAAAGTGTATAAATTAATTGAGGAGGAAGTTCGGGTGAGATATAAGCGACTATTGGCAGAAAGGTGGGCTAGTGCAAAGATGAGTAGTGGGGGGGGTTGAAGAGGGTTGGAATAGTTTTAAAAATGCAGTATTAGAATGTGGGGCAGAAGTTTGTGGTTATAGGAGGGTGGGGGCAGGAGGAAAGAGGAGTGATTGGTGGAATGAAGAAGTAAAGGTTGTGATAAAAGAGAAAAAGGTAGCTTATGAGAGGTTTTTACAAAGCAGAAGTGTTATAAGAAGAGCAGAGTATATGGAGAGTAAAAGAAAGGTAAAGAGAGTGGTGAGAGAGTGCAAAAAGAGAGCAGATGATAGAGTGGGAGAGGCACTGTCAAGAAATTTTAATGAAAATAAGAAAAAATTTTGGAGTGAGTTAAGCAAGTTAAGAAAGCCTATGGAAAGTATGTAGATGGGGAGATGGAGGTATTAGGTAGATGGCGAGAATATTTTGAGGAACTTTTAAATGTTAAGGAAGAAAGAGAGGCAGTAATTTCATGCACTGGTCAGGGAGGTATACCATCTTCTAGGAGTGAAGAAGAGCAGAATGTAAGTGTGGGGGAGGTAGGTGAGGCATTACATAGAATGAAAGGGGGTAAAGCAGCTGGAACTGATGGGATCATGACAGAAATGTTAAAAGCAGGGGGGGATATAGTGTTCGAGTGGTTGGTACTTTTGTTTAATAAATGTATGAAAGAGGGGAAGGTACCTAGGGATTGGCGGAGAGCATGTATAGTCCCTTTACATAAAGGGAAAGGGGACAAGAGAGATTGTAAAAATTATAGAGGAATAAGTTTACTGAGTATACCAGGAAAAGTGTACGGTAGGGTTATAATTGAAAGACTTAGAGGTAAGACAGAATGTAGGATTGCAGATGAGCAAGGAGGTTTCAGAGTGGGTAGGGGATGTGTAGATCAAGTGTTTACATTGAAGCATATATGTGAACAGTATTTAGATAAAGGTAGGGAAGTTTTTATTGCATTTATGGATTTAGAAAAGGCATATGATATAGTGGATAGAGGAGCAATGTGGCAGATGTTGCAAGTATATGGTATAGGTGGTAAGTTATTAAATGCTGTAAAGAGTTTTTATGAGGATAGTGAGGCTCAGGTTAGGGTGTGTAGAAGAGAGGGACACAACTTCCCGGTAAAAGTAGGTCTTAGACAGGGATGTGTAATGTCACTATGGTTGTTTAATATATTTATAGATGGAGTTGTTAAAGAAGTAAATGCTAGGGTGTTCGGGAGAGGGGTGGGAATAAATTATGGGGAATTAAATACAAAATGGAAATTGACACAGTTACTTTTTGCTGATGATACTGTGCTTATGGGAGATTCTAAAGAAAAATTGCAAATTGCAAAGGTTTGTGGATGAGTGTGAGTGTGTGTGTAAAGGTAGAAAGCTGAAAGTGAACATAGAAAAGAGTAAGGTGATGAGGGTATCAAATAATTTCGATAAAAAAAAATTGGATATCATATTGGGGAGGAGGAGTATGGAAGAAGTGAATGTTTTCAGATATTTGGGAGTTGACGTGTCAGCGGATGGATTTATGAAGGATGAGGTTAATCATAGAATTGATGAAGGAAAAAAGGCGAGTGGTGCATTGAGGTATATGTGGAGACAAAAAACATTATCTATGGAGGCAAAGAAAGGAATGTATGTAAGTATAGTAGTACCAAGACTCTTATATGGGTGTGAAGCTTGGGCTGTAAATGCTGCAGCGAGGAGGCAGTTGGAGGAAGTGGAGATGTCCTGTCTAAGGACAATGTGTAGTGTAAATAGTATGCAGAAAATTCAGAGTGTGGAAATTAGAAGGTGTGGAGTTATTAAAAGTATTTGTCAGAGCGCTGAAGAGGGGTTGTTGAGGTGGTTTGGTCATTTAGAGAGAATGGATCAAAGTAGAATGACGTGGAGAGTGTATAAATCTGTACGGGAAGGAAGGCGAGGTAGAGGTTGTCCTCGAAAAGGTTGGAGGGAGGGGGTAAAGGAGGTTTTGTGGGCGAGGGGCTTAGACTTCCAGCAAGCGTGCATGAGTGTGTTAGACAGGAGTGAATGGAGACAAATGGTATTTGGGACCTGACGAGATGTTGGAGTGTGAGCAGGGTAATATTTAGTGAAGGGATTCAGGGAAACCAGTTATTTTTATATAGCCGGACTTCAAGTCCTGGAAATGGGAAGTACAATGCCTGCACTTTAAAGGAGGGGTTTGGGATATTGGCAGTTTGGAGGGATATGTTGTGTATCTTTATACGTATGTGCTTATAAACTGTTGTATTCTGAGCACCTCTGCAAAAACAGTGATTATGTGTGAGTGAGGTGAAAGTGTTGAATGATGATGAAAGTATTTTCTTTTGGGGGATTTTCTTTCTTTTTGGGTCACCCTGCCTTGGTGGGAAATGGCCTACTTGTTAAAAAAAAAAAAAAAAAGATGAATTGTGATGGATAAATAAGCCGTAGAGTTTATATTAGTGAAATACTGAAGTATTTTATTGTACCTGGAATTCCGCTGGAACGGATTAATTCCATTTCAATTAATTTAAATGAGGAAAACTGACTCGACCAACGAGCAAATCGGGATGTGAGCAAGGTCGTGGAACAGATTTAACTCGTAAGCTGAGGTTCCACTGTATATGTAAAACCTAGGAACATGACAAAGGAAGAGAGGAAATGTTATTTTTGTGCCAGGAATGCCTGCATTGTTTATTCTGGACCCTATTTTGAAATTGGAATATTTTGAAATGTATGTGAAATTGGCCAAATTACCAATTTCTGATCACTTTACTGGGTAGTTGAAATAGTTCATTGGGCAGTTTGTTGTACTCAGTTGATAAAATGGAAGACATACTAGCTAACAATTTGGTCTACTGGAACAATGTAATTGGCATAAACCAGGACTCAAGGTGGGCAAAATCACTCGTGTAAATATTGCTGACAGCAAAATTTGCGAAAGTGTAATTTTGTCAATTTTCCATCAAATTTTGTACTTTTTGTTTTAGTACCTTCAGAAAGAGATTATCTACCATTTTGTATTTTTTTTTTCTGAAAAATTCTTGGACACTGTGGACATGTTTCTAATCAGGGATCTGGACAATGAAAGGGTTAATTCGCTGATTATCTTCTCTCTTTCCAAGGAAACCTCAACATTACACTTGTATCCAAGTTCTTCTATTCTCTCAGTCTTTCATAAGGTTGCCAATAGTTTATATGTATATCAACCTTTTTTTTTTTAAAGTACAAGTATGATGGTGCATATTCATATTTAATTTTGCCTTTCATACATTTACCATCATGAAACTATAATTCACAGGATAATTATGTAAGCTTTATACAGAGATAGCCCCAAAATCAACTTCCCTAACTGCTAATATATTTTGAATACTCACCTAAGCTCCTTATGAAAGCCAGTGTCAATGACAAACACAACATCATTTATTGTCAAACTGGTTTCAGCAATATTAGTTGCAAGTACCACTTTTCGCCTGCCTTCTGGTGGGTCATCAAATATCCTCTCTTGATCCTGAGAGCCGAGCTTGGAATGAAGTGGTAACACCAACAACTTAGTATTTAAATTATTATCTTGTAGTAGTTTGGTTTGAATTAGAGATATCTCCTGCCATCCAGGAAGGAAACAAAGAATAGCTCCTGGAGGTCTTGAAATTTCTATTTTCCGAATTATATCAATCACAAGGTCAACATTGACTGTAGGTCGGGATTCAGGTTCCATGAGAGGTTGTATATTATATCTTGTGGGATTAATATTAAGCACATTCAACGCATGAGGAATGTAGTGCCGAGTGAGAGGGAATAGTGTACCAGGGACCTCCAGCAATGTGCTCTCATTTTCCCCAAAGTATTTCTGCAGCTGCTGAGTGCTCAAAGATGCACTCATCAGAATTAATCGTAAATGACTGTGACTTTGCAATAGACGGCGTAATATTATCAACAGCAGATCTGTTTGTACTGAACGTTCATGAACTTCATCCATGATAACATGTGATACACCTTCCAGAGTTGGGTTAGCATGAATTTTCTGAAGAAGCATCCCTGTTGTGCAGAACATAATGCCACCCCGGTTCCGGAGTCTTTTGTAACTTAAACGTACATGATAGCCAACACTGTCACCCAACTGCAAAGATGTCATAAATAAAAGAATCATATATCAAAGCTAATTTAAGGCAAACATTTTAACAAAATATGAATACAGTATAACAGTAAACTGCTTAATTCTAGTCAACAAAAAATATTACTTAGATTTGTATACTGAATGGCTGGCTGCACACTCCCCTTAAGAATATTAATCATTTGTAAATAAAACTTTTAATCTATGGTTAATATCTACCACCGAATCTACCAGAATGTATGTTGTATTTTATAAGCAGACCTGCCTACTTGGTTTATACACTAAAGATATATGATAAACAAGCTTAGCATATAATATTTCTGGGTATAACTCAGTGAAAATTATTCAGACTATCACAAAATTATTAAACAGTATAATTTTGATGTTAATGTGTCCCTTAGCTCAATCAGGCTATAAACATGTACAATGCATATATGAAATTACCATCAAAAGCACGACATGCATAACAGAAGATTCACATAAATCTAATCTGCACAATATGAATCTACATAAAGCAAGGGAACCCTACCCAAAATTAGGTTGAGTTTAGATCATTTAAATAGGATTATGCTATACCATATAACAAACTTTAGTATGGTATGGTCAGGATCTTGAAGTTAAGCACAATACTGTGACTGCACATGAGGGAATGAAACCTATGACAACGTTTCGATACAACTAGTCACACGAACAGTTATTGGTCTAAGATGGACCAAGACATCATCGTAAGTTTCATTCTCCTATCTGCGGGTTATATGTGAATCTTAAAGTTAGTTTGGCACAAAATTATCAATTAATATACCATGTTAATACTTGCTGGTTTATTAGTCTACAGGAGCAATATAGATAAAATAATTTAAATAATTAGCTTTGTTTGACTGCTTTGGCTATAAAGAATAACATACTGTACTTTAGACTTGCTTGTAACATTCATCTTACCTTTTCACCTCTTTCTTTTGCAACTCGCTTTGCCAAAGATATTGCAGAAATGCGCCTAGGTTGCATAATTAAAATATTGCACTCTGAACCTCTACCTTCTTGAATCCATTGATCTAATATCATTTGTGGAACCTACAAAACAAAAGAATATGCATTTGAAAAATCTGATGCATTTTCTGATCAGTAGAGACACTGAAGGAAATGCAAATGATAAGGTGAAGAACATGATATATGAAAGATGAAAGAAAACAGATATGGATGAGAGGATATACAAAAGAAGAGGTGAAGAAAAGAAACAGCAATATGGTGTGTATATAAACAGTTATTATGGAAGTAATAAAGTATGCCTAATTGATAAATACAAAAAGAAAAAGTTACATATTTTAAAGACATGAAAGACCTTTCTGAATGAAACACAACCTCACACAAACCTATAAATCACCTTTCTAAGCCTAGTATGGACTATCACTTTAATTCACTTGGCAATGAATTCCTGTGCCTCAGCAGCACAACATGTGTTGCAGTCTCGCTTGGCACAGATTAACCAGGAACAACTGGGAAAGAGAACAGTTGAGGACGAACTCCGTGATGCAGAAAAGCATCACCTGGAACTGTAACACTGGCACACATGAAAAAGACAGCTACAGAAGAGGTGACTAAAATGCTAGGAGCAAGGGGCTAGTAACCTCTTCTCCTGTATATATTACTAAGTGTAAAAAGAAAAAAAAACTTTTTTTTTTTTTAAGGTCACCCTGTATTGGTAGGATATGGCTGGTTCTTTGAAAAAAAAAAAATGTATTAACTGAAATTTATCCAGCCTTCAGTGTCATAATATACATTTGTAATAACTTCACAACACACAGATTTCATATACTGATAGTGAAAACTAGGTACAGTGGCACACAGCACTTGCAAAAACTTAGTAATAAGCAAATATCATTGGTCACTACAGCCACTGATGTGTGTATGAAAGAAATGATAACTAACCTGAGTACTCTTGCCACAGCCTGTGTCCCCTGCAACAACCACTATTCTCTTCTCAGACAGTGCTCTCTCCAAATCTTCCCTACAAGAAAACACAGAGGAATGATATAATTTAGAAATTATGTTAGTAGAGAATATGTTTCAGGATAGTTATTTTACCTTTAGCATATCAGCTGAACCCTGCCAAGGTAGTGTGTCTTAGAGAAGTGAAAAACATACATTATAATTTATTCTGCAAAACATTGGACACAGATCTGTTAGGCTACAGTTTCTCGGTTATGAATAATTAATTTTGGGAGTGAATATCAAAATGGTATACAATACTGACAGGATGGTAGGTAAGACACATAGGCAACTTTATTCTGAAATGTTTCGCCTACACAGTAGGCTTCTTCAGTTGAGTACAGGAAGTAGGCAGGAGCAGTAGAGCTATGAAGATGATGTAATTAGTCCATCACCCTTGAAGTCGTAGATTTAAGGGTGTCAGCCCTCAGCCTGGTGAAGAGTTGTTCCATAGTCTGAAACAATCTGAAGATAAAGCGATAGTGTGGAGACTTGTATACTGTCGAAAGGATAGGTGCAGAGTAGTAGTAGAGAGAATGTAGCCACTAAGAGGTCATGTCCCTCTCAGATCAAACAATTCTCACTTGAAAAAGTTGCCCAAGGTGTTTACTCTTCTGTACCAAGATGCCACTGTGTTGCAGTGTCCGACAGAGTGAATATCAAAATGGTATACAACACTGACAGGTTGGTTGGTAAGACACAGAGGCAACAGTTAGGCAACTTTATTTCAAAATGTTTTACCTACACAGTAGGCTTCTTCAGTCGAGTACGGGAAGCAGGCAGGAGCAGTAGAGATGTGAAGATGATGTAATCAGTCCAGAAAACACCGCCGCCTCAGCTGCTGCTTCACCACCATTATGAACGGCTTACTCTCAGTGGCCCTTATACACCCAACAACAACACAACACCTCTCGTGACATACATAATGACTTATTCATTCTAGGGTATATTCCATGTTTCTATGTTATTAATATTGTTTATTATGTCATAAGTTAGGAGGAGGTGCGGGATTACCAAAACTGTTGTCCAGAGGGCTGAGGAAGGGTTGTTGAGGTGGTTCGGACATGTAGAGAGAATGGAGCGAAACAGAATAACTTCAAGAGTGTATCAGTCTGTAGTGGAAGGAAGGCGGGGTAGGGGTCGGCCTAGGAAGGGTTGGAGGGAGGGGGTAAAGGAGGTTTTGTGTGCGAGGGGCTTGGACTTCCAGCAGGCATGCGTGAGCGTGTTTGATAGGAGTGAATGGAGACAAATGGTTTTTAATACTTGACGTGCTGTTGGAGTGTGAGCAAAGTAACATTTATGAAGGGATTCAGGGAAACCGGCAGGCCGGACTTGAGTCCTGGAGATGGGAAGTACAGTGCCTGCACTCTGAAGGAGGGGTGTTAATGTTGCAGTTTAAAAACTGTAGTGTAAAGCACCCTTCTGGCAAGACAGTGATGGAGTGAATGATGGTGAAAGTTTTTCTTTTTCGGGCCACCCTGCCTTGGTGGGAATCGGCCAGTGTGATAATAATAAAATAAAAATGTCATATTAGTTGAATTATGATAGATAAATAAGTTGTAGAGTTGATATTAATGTCATATTCTCCAACAATAAACTTGCCATCCCTCCCTCACACAAACAAGTCTTCAATAAGGGTAAGTGTGATGTTACTTAAGAACTTAAGAAAGGAGGAACACTGCAACAGGCCTGCTGGCCCATACTAGGCAGGTCCTTCACAAATCCAACCCACTAACAACAAATGCTACCCAAGCAATAAGCTCAGATGCAAGTCCAACTCATATCCAACCCCTCTCAACTCATGTATTTATCCAACCTAAATTTGAAACTACCCAATCCATAGCTTATAGAACATAAGAAAGGAGGAACACTGCAATAGGCCTGTTGGGCCATACTAGGCAGGTCCTTCACACGTCACCATCATCACCGTCATCAAGAAGACGAATGTAAAGCCAGAAACGATGAAGAAGAAAGATGGTGACTGCTGTGGAAACTCCCGTGGGAAACCTCAACGCATTCTCCGGTGCTACCCGACGAATGTATGTGAGTCTACTACTGGGATCTTCACGCACGATCGACAATCAAGGAAGGTAAGAATTTTGTGTTGTTGGGGATAGCCAGGTTAGATACATGGATATATTTTTTTTTTTTTTTTTTTTTTCTTGTTTTTTTTTTTTTTTGTTGGGCCATTCTGCTTGAAGGACAGGAGTAGGAGACAAAGGGTCATATGCTTTCCTGGGGCTGGGATGGAGGACATTGTTAGCGGCTGACAACATCATGAACGGTAATGGGATCAATCCTAATTATTTGCCTCAGTGACTGGAGGCATTGATTTAGGCAAAAGGCGTAGAAGTGAGGATTTAGTTAGAAAGCTTCAGGACAGCTATAGACATGATTAGGAAAGAAGGGGGGGGCGCCCTGTTACATATGTGGCATTTGCAAGAAGAGTCGTTGGTTAATGAAATGGTTGTCCAGAGCAATTGGTATTTATTGTTGGCTGGATAATACACTGTCTAGGATTAATGCAGTACCATACATTGACAATGGGACAACTTCTATGGCCGAAATGACATGTATGCCAGGGATGGAGTTCACTTATCAGGGCAGGTGTGGGTTTTTCTTGCTACACTCAGTTGTGGGGGGTTGTATTAGGACTTTTAAAATAGGATTTGTTAGAGGTATGGGTTTAGAAATGATTAATAATGAGTATGGATATATTGACTTATGCTCTGATATTAAGAATCTTAATAGTAATGTCTGTAGTAAATCACTGGGTAATGATAATTTTCAGAAATTGTGTTTGAAAAAAAACAAAGATGAATGGTAAAATGTGCCAGAACAAAAAAAACATATGATGGTATTTTTTTGCTAACAGTCGAAAGTGCCAGGAAAATAAATTTAATGAACTCGTTTGGCTAGCATGTGCTCGGGAATTTGATATCATTGCGTTAACTAAACGTGCGTTATGATTTAAAGAGTCGGGATATGACTGTGAGTGTAATCGTTCATGATGACTGAATCTCGTCACGGATTAATTATTCAATGTGATCTAGATTGTAATGGGAAGGGGGGAGGAGTTGCATTGTATGTTCGAGAAAATATTAATTGTTGCATAAAAACAGGTATAAAAATAGATGGAGCAGTAACAGAGTCTGTTTGGGTAGAGTTCGTCGGAGGGTCAAGAAAATAATTCTAGGTGAATATACCGACTCCAGGTTTGGATTCACGATAGAGGGAGACTTCTTTGTGACGAAAATTGTTAGGGCTTCTGGACACAGTAACGTAGTCATAGTAGGGGACTTTAACTTTAGCCAAATTGAATGGAATTCTTTGACGGTAATCTAGAGTCCAGTGACTTTCATGGAAACAGTTCAGGACTGTTTTCTGAAATCAAGTGTGTAACTCGAACCTACAGGGTAATAATTTGCTAGACCTAGTCTTGTCAAATAAGGAAACAATCGTGAATATCTGGAGATCACTAAAGAGCTTGGCACATAGTGATCACAAATCCATCACCTTTAGCATTAATTGGGGAATGACAAGAATAATGATAATTCAGTAAAAACCCTGATTTTCGTTTTTCTAACGATTATAATGGACTTAGGGAACATCTGTCTAATCTTGTTTTAATTGGGGTATCTAGCTAATGATTTTATTGACGATTAATCAACTTATGAATATGAAGGGATATGCTTTTATGATTGTTTTATTAATTAGTGTTAACCAGTGCCCAGAGTATATACATTCCCCAGAGAGAAATTAGGTCTAATAATACGATCCCAAATCGGGGTTAACAGGAGGCTAGAGCATCTATTAGGAGGAAAAGGGGGAATTTATAGGGCATCAGAAGGGGTGGGGGTGGGGGGGGGAGGAGAGGTTAAACCGTACTGACAATATGTTCAGCTAAAAGAGAAGTAAAAAAGGCGATTAGAAAGGCTAAACGTGACCTATGAAATTAGAGTTCGATAATGAATCCAAGACTAATCCAAAGGGGTTCTTTCAAGTGTATAGGCACGAAGGTGAAGGGAAAAAGTAGGACCTCTGAAATCTTGGGAATGGACAGCTGACGGATTAAATGAACTGAAATGTGTTCCTTATTTAATCGACTATTTTTTGTCAGTTTTTACACAGGAAGATGTAAATGAGATTCCAGTAATTAACAATTATTTAGTTCCTGATGAATTTAAGTTAACTAATATTACTGTCACGAGGGAACATGGTTATTAAACAGATAGACAAACTGAAACAAAAATAACAAGTCCCCGGGACCTGATGAGTTGTTCAAGTGGTACTTAAGGAATGCAAGATGGAGCTAGTCAGCCATTACGAGTGTATTCATTGCGTCCATCCTTACCAGTGTTGTGCCAGAGATGTGGAAGATGGCCTAATGCTGGTTAATATATTCAAATCAGGGGATAAGTCCACTCCTTCCAAATTACCGGTCCAATAAGCCTGAATCTTAGTGGGCAAAGTTATTAGAATAATATTATAGCATGACATTATCAGAAGTCACCTTGAAGAGCATAAACTTGATAAAGAATCTCTGGCAGGATCACGAGAGGTCGTTCCTGCCTGGCAAATTCTGGACGTGCTTAATAGAACATTTGAGGCAGTGACAGTGATACAGGAATATGATATTGTTTATTTGGAATTTTGTAAAGCTGTTCGATAGATACCTCACAAGGAGACTCTTAAGGAAATGTGGCAGCTCATGGTATAGGAGGTAAAGTTATAGCCATGAGATTGAGGCATGGCTTACCAAAGAAAGCAGAGAGTTACAATAATTTTTTTTTTGGGGGGGGGGTGGGGCCCCCCCCCCCCCCCCCCCGGGGGGAGGTGTGGGGGAGTGAAATCTGATGGGGCAATTAGTCACTAGTGGCGTTCCACAAGGATCTCAGTTTTAGGGCCCTCTCTTGTTCATAATTTACATTAATGACCTTGATGAAGGGATTGCTAGTGACATGAGTTAAGGTTGCTGATGGATACATAGATAGGCCGATAATTCATTGAGGAGGTTAT